GGTTTTTTGTGAGAGGTTGCTGTGAGGGGGTTTCTGTGTAGTTATTTTTGGGGTTGTTGTGAGAACCAGAAATACTCACCCGGTTATAAACAACCTATAAATAGCACCTAACCCAGCAGGGATGAAAATTGTGTAATTGTCGGTCTCCATCAAACTCTAATATTTAACCTAACCAAACTTTAATGTTTAACCTAACCAGTCTCAAATGTTTAACCTAACCAGTCTCAAATGTTTAACCTAACCAAACTCTACTGTTAAACCTAACCAAACTCTACTGTTTAACCTAACCAAACTCTACTGTTTAACCTAACCAAACTCTACTGTTTAACCTAACCAAACTCTACTGTTTAACCTAACCAAACTCTACTGTTTAACCTAACCAAACTCTACTGTTTAACCTAACCAAACTCTACTGTTTAACCTAACCAGTCTCAAATGTTTAACCTAACCAAACTCTACTGTTTAACCTAACCAAACTCTACTGTTTAACCTAACCAAACTCTACTGTTTAACCTAACCAAACTCTACTGTTTAACCTAACCAAACTCTACTGTTTAACCTAACCAAACTCTACTGTTTAACCTAACCAAACTCTACTGTTTAACCTAACCAAACTCTACTGTTTAACCTAACCAAACTCTACTGTTTATCCTAATCAGGCTCTACTGTTTAACCTAATCAGACTCTACTGTTTAACCTAATCAGACTCTACTGTTTAACCTAACCAAACAGCTAGAAGCAAATAACCTTTCAGCAGTCAGTTCATCATCTAGCGCCGGCCCCACCCACACCAGGCTATTAGAGTCCACTGGTAGCAGATATTGGACGCCTATGGCACTGACCTAACGATCTTAAGAACATGCGGGAAAAATATTTGTCAACAACTGGATCTTAAGAACATGCGGGAAAAATATTTGTCAACAACTGGATCTTAAGAACATACGGGAAAAATATTTGTCAACAACTGGATCTTAAGAACATACGGGAAAAATATTTGTCAACAACTGGATCTTAAGAACATGCGGGAAAAATATTTGTCAACAACTGGATCTTAAGAACATGCGGGAAAAATATTTGTCAACAACTGGATCTTAAGAACATGAGGGAAAAATATTTGTCAACAACTGGATCTTAAGAACATGCTGGAAAAATATTTGTCAACAACTGGATCTTAAGAACATGCGGGAAAAATATTTGTCAACAACTGGATCTTAAGAACATGCGGGAAAAATATTTGTCAACAACTGGATCTTAAGAACATGCGGGAAAAATATTTGTCAACAACTGGATCTTAAGAACATGCGGGAAAAATATTTGCCAACAACTGGATCTTAAGAACATGCGGGAAAAATATTTGTCAACAACTGGATCTTAAGAACATGCGGAAAAAATATTTGTCAACAACTGGATCTTAAGTACATGCGGGAAAAATATTTGTCAACAACTGGATCTTAAGAACATACGGGAAAAATATTTGTCAACAACTGGATCTTAAGAACATGCGGGAAAAATATTTGTCAACAACTGGATCTTAAGAACATACGGGAAAAATATGTGTCAACAACTGGATCTTAAGAACATACGGGAAAAATATTTGTCAACAACTGGATCTTAAGAACATGCGGGAAAAATATTTGTCAACAACTGGATCTTAAGAACATGCGGGAAAAATATTTGTCAACAACTGGATCTTAAGAACATGCGAGAAAAATATTTGTCAACAACTGGATCTTAAGAACATGCGGAAAAAATATTTGTCAACAACTGGATCTTAAGTACATGCGGGAAAAATATTTGTCAACAACTGGATCTTAAGAACATACGGGAAAAATATTTGTCAACAACTGGATCTTAAGAACATGCGGAAAAAATATTTGTCAACAACTGGATCTTAAGAACATACGGGAAAAAATATGTGTCAACAACTGGATCTTAAGAACATACGGGAAAAATATTTGTCAACAACTGGATCTTAAGAACATGCGGGAAAAATATTTGTCAACAACTGGATCTTAAAAATATGCGGGAAAAATATTTGTCAACAACTGGATCTTAAGAACATGCGGGAAAAATATTTGTCAACAACTGGATCTTAAGAACATGCGAGAAAAATATTTGTCAACAACTGGATCTTAAGAACATGCGGGGAAAATATTTGTCAACAACTGGATCTTAAGAACATGCGGGAAAAATATTTGTTAACAACTCTAATTGTTGGAACCTCTAATTGTTGGAACCTCTAATTGTTGGAACCTCTAATTGTTGGAACCTCTAATTGTTGGAACCTCTAATTGTTGGAACCTCTAATTGTTGGAACCTCTAATTGTTGGAACCTCTAATTGTTGGAACCTCTAATTGTTGGAACCTCTAATTGTTGGAACCTCTAATTGTTGGAACCTCTAATTGTTGGAACCTCTAATTGTTGGAACCTCTCTTCAATAGACTGTGTCGCCATAACCAAGATAGTGTTGTAGAATGCCACTTTGAAATTCTGTTTGGGATCTTGTGATGCAAAGAATTATTTTAGGTAGAAAATCAAAATATCTCCCTAGCTAACGAGATTTCTCATTAAAAGTGAGAAATAATTATCATTAAAAAAGTTTTTAAAAACCCACGTTTTCTGATTGAACTAAAAAGTAGAAAATAAATGCTATACATCACAATAATGCAAGCGATCACTCTACTATAAGCGATGAAAAACGTGGGGCGCCGAAGTAAAAGTTTTTTTATCGTTCATTGTTAATATAAGATGTAAAAGTTATATTACTATTGATTAGATCAGGGGTCTCCAAACTTTTCAGTCCAAGGGCCGCATTAACTATCAAATTTCAGTTCGAGGGCCAGTTTCCTCCAGGCATGTCTTTGATTTTTCTGGACAAAGTTCCTCAGCCATCACCAACAAACGTTTTTAACGTGGACAAAAAGATCTCCGCGGGCCGGATGAGAGGACATCGCGGGCCGCATCCGGCCCGCGGGCCGTAGTTTGGAGACCCCTGGATTAGATAATACTATTGACTTTTATTAGGGAGCTTGTAGAGAGTCAACAGTATTAGAAACTGTAAGAAAATCACGTTTTTCATCGCTTATAGTAGAGTGATCGCTTGCATTATTGTGATGTATAGCATTTATTTTCTACTTTTTAGTTCAATCAGAAAACGTGGGTTTTTTTAAACTTTTTTAATGATAATTATATTCTACTTTTTAGTCTTTGTTTGTTTGCATTAAAATCTTGCTATCGATTTTATCTTTTCGCATTCACTTTTTTCTTTTGGGTAAAAGAAGACAACTCGTAAAAAACACGTGCCTTGAACCCGTGTCGAGTGGGTTAGCAATCGTGTGCCCAACCACTCGACCATATCGTCTCCCCCATACTGGCCACCAGTTGTTCCGGTTGTTTGTACACAAACACCACGTGAACACTACTCAGTAAGCAAAAAGAGGGAGAGTGCCGAACCTTGTTTTCATCAAATTACAATGACTGGGTTATGTCCCCTTTTCCCACGTTTTTTGTACAATTATATAGTGGTCTAAAATGATCAATAAAATGTTTAAATTGATCAATTTAGTAATAATAACAATTGAATATTCTATTGTCATCGGAAACAAAGCTTCGCTGAAAATTTCAGCGCGCTAGCTAACTGGGAAGTGCCCGAAATTTCGATCGCAAGATTTGATTGGAGAACCAAACAAACAGACGCGAAAGCAAGTTAAAGAAAACGTGGGAAAAAAGGAGACTTACAAGCCCTATTAAAAACCAAAATTGCACGTGATTCAGAACACCGCGTCATGCGCTGGAGCGATGAGTAAATCAACATTTAAACTAGATAACCACCTATAATCTTTGAGTAAATCAACATTTAAACTAGATAACCACCTAAAATCTATGAGTGAATCAACATTTAAACTAGATAACCACCTAAAATCTATGAGTAAATCAACATTTAAACTAGATAACCACCTAAAATCTATGAGTAAATCAACATTTTAACTAGATAATCACCTAAAATCTATGAGTAAATCAACGTTTTAGCTAGATAACCACCTAAAATCTATGAGTAAATCAACATTTAAACTAGATAACCACCTACAATCTATGAGTAAAACAACATTTAAACTAGATAACCACCTAAAATCTTCGACATTAATAGGCTTGTATTCAATACTAGAATTATCTTGTTATATATCACTGTCTATTAATTATATAATATTGTCAAAGCTATTAATTATTGTGCACTTTTAAATAATGTCGATTACACAATTTTGCACCCTCATCTACGAAAAGCGCCCTAGGGGACCGCCTAGTTTGCCTAAAAGTGTGGCACCTGGTTTTGTTGTTTGCTCATGGGTTTGAGTTGAAGTTTGCGGTTGCATTTATTTTTGCGTTATTGGTGGTTGACCAAGAAACATCAAATTTGTTAAGGTTGATGTGAAATGTGATATTACTGCTGATGAAGATGTGAAGGTTTTAGTGTGGGTTGTGGGGTGGCATTGAGAGGGGGCTGTTGTGTATTTTTAGACTGATGAATACTGCGGTTGGTCGAGTTACCGTTCATAAATATCGTCCACATTTTGTTCTCAGGGTTCTGTTTGTTCGTCCTTTCAGGTGTACCGCGCCGTGTGCGGACGATGAATATGACATTGTTGCTCGGTGTTTGCTGATTGTGCAGGCTAGACCAGAGTGAAAAATTCATCGCATCCAATGTGGACTAGCAGACTACAACAACAGTCGCTGGCACACCCACTGTTTACATTCAGACTTGTCCAATCTTATTGCTATCACGTGATCAATGCCCACCCAGGCCCACTGCCAATATCTCATTATTGCGGCATCAATGATGTACTGCCGTTACTTGCCCTCATTACTACGACAGCAATCAACTAACCCTCGCGATATCATCTTGATTGTTATTTTAATAAATTCGTATGCAGGTGGGCTGATACAGGTGGTCAATGGGAGCTGGTGCAGGTGGGTGGTCAATGGGAGCTGGTGCGGGTGGTCAATGGGAGCTGGTACAGGCGGTCAATGGGAGCTGGTGCAGGTGGTCAATGGGAGCTGGTACAGGTGGTCAATGGGAGCTGGTACAGGTGGTCAATGGGAGCTGGTACAGGTGGTCAATGGGAGCTGGTACAGGTGGTCAATGGGAGCTGGTACAGGTGGTCAATGGGAGCTGGTACAGGTGGTCAATGGGAGCTGGTACAGGTGGGTGGTCAATGGGAGCTGGTACAGGTGGTCAATGGGAGCTGGTAGAGGTGGTCAATGGGAGCTGGAACAGGTGGTCAATGGGAGCTGGTACAGGTGGTCAGTGGGAGCTGGTAGAGGTGGTCAATGGGAGCTGGTGCAGGTGGTCAATGGGAGCTGGTACAGGTGGTCAATGGGAGCTGGAACAGGTGGTCAGTGGGAGCTGGTAGAGGTGGTCAATGGGAGCTGGTGCAGGTGGTCAATGGGAGCTGGTGCAGGTGGTCAATGGGAGCTGGTACAGGCGGTCAATGGGAGCTGGTACAGGTGGGTGGTCAATGGGAGCTGGTACAGGTGGTTAATGGGAGCTGGTAGAGGTGGTCAATGGGAGCTGGTACAGGTGGTCAATGGGAGCTGGTACAGGTGGGTGGTCAATGGGAGCTGGTACAGGTGGTCAATGGGAGCTGGTACAGGTGGTCAATGGGAGCTGGAACAGGTGGTCAGTGGGAGCTGGTAGAGGTGGTCAATGGGAGCTGGTGCAGGTGGTCAATGGGAGCTGGTGCAGGTGGTCAATGGGAGCTGGTACAGGCGGTCAATGGGAGCTGGTACAGGTGGGTGGTCAATGGGAGCTGGTACAGGTGGTTAATGGGAGCTGGTAGAGGTGGTCAATGGGAGCTGGTACAGGTGGTCAATGGGAGCTGGTACAGGTGGGTGGTCAATGGGAGCTGATACAGGTGGGTGGTCAATGGGAGCTGATACAGGTGGTCAATGGGAGCTGGTATAGGTGGTCAATGGGAGCTGGTACAGGTGGTCAATGGGAGCTGGTACAGGCGGTCAATGGGAGCTGGTACAGGTGGGTGGTCAATGGGAGCTGGTGCAGGTGGTCAATGGGAGCTGGTACAGGTGGTCAATGGGAGCTGGTACAGGTGGTCAATGGGAGCTGGTACAGGTGGTCAATGGGAGCTGGTACAGGTGGTCAATGGGAGCTGGTACAGGTGGTCAATGGGAGCTGGTACAGGTGGTCAATGGGAGCTGGTACAGGTGGTCAATGGGAGCTGGTACAGGTGGTCAATGGGAGCTGGTACAGGTGGTCAATGGGAGCTGGTACAGGTGGTCAATGGGAGCTGGTACAGGTGGTCAATGGGAGCTGGTACAGGTGGGTGGTCAATGGGAGCTGGTACAGGTGGTCAATGGGAGCTGGTACAGGTGGTCAATGGGAGCTGGTACAGGCGGTCAATGGGAGCTGGTACAGGTGGGTGGTCAATGGGAGCTGGTACAGGTGGTTAATGGGAGCTGGTAGAGGTGGTCAATGGGAGCTGGAACAGGTGGTCAATGGGAGCTGGTACAGGTGGTCAATGGGAGCTGGAACAGGTGGTCAGTGGGAGCTGGTAGAGGTGGTCAATGGGAGCTGATACAGGTGGACAATGGGAGCTGATACAGGTGGGTGGTCAATGGGAGCTGATACTGGTGGTCAATGGGAGCTGGTACAGGTGGTCAATGGGAGCTGGTACAGGCGGTCAATGGGAGATGGTACAGGTGGGTGGTCAATGGGAGCTGGTGCAGGTGGTCAATGGGAGCTGGTACAGGTGGTCAATGGGAGCTGGTACAGGTGGTCAATGGGAGCTGGTACAGGTGGTCAATGGGAGCTGGTACAGGTGGTCAATGGGAGCTGGTACAGGTGGTCAATGGGAGCTGGTACAGGTGGTCAATGGGAGCTGGTACAGGTGGTCAATGGGAGCTGGTACAGGTGGTCAATGGGAGCTGGTACAGGTGGTCAATGGGAGCTGGTACAGGTGGTCAATGGGAGCTGGTACAGGTGGTCAATGGGAGCTGGTACAGGTGGTCAATGGGAGCTGGTACAGGTGGTCAATGGGAGCTGGTACAGGTGGTCAATGGGAGCTGGTACAGGCGGTCAATGGGAGCTGGTACAGGTGGGTGGTCAATGGGAGCTGGTACAGGTGGTTAATGGGAGCTGGTAGAGGTGGTCAATGGGAGCTGGAACAGGTGGTCAATGGGAGCTGGTACAGGTGGTCAATGGGAGCTGGAACAGGTGGTCAGTGGGAGCTGGTAGAGGTGGTCAATGGGAGCTGATACAGGTGGACAATGGGAGCTGATACAGGTGGTCAATGGGAGCTCGCGTATTTGATTTCCCACCTTTTTACAAGTTTTTATTTAACTCACTTCCTTTGTCGCCAGTCGTCAGTCTGTCTAGATCGAAACGCCCGAGCGAAATAGCAGGCATTTCTAACTGACAGATACGGTTCGTAGTTGGTACGTGGGTCAATACATGAAGACTAATTTTTAAGAAAAGACCCACGCTTCCAAAACATTAGTAAAGGTATCCAATAGATACTAAAGGACTATTTCTTTTCTTTATAATTATTTAAATATTAGTGTATAAATTATTTTCTACTTTGTAGTGCATTATTACATAAAAGATTGTTTTTAAAACGTTTTTTATGGAAAAAAAAATTACAAGCTTTTATTCAACTCACTTCCTCTGTCTTCAATCTGTCGTCAGTCTGTCTAGATCGAAACGCCCGAGCGAAATTGCAGATACGGTTCGTAGTTGGCACGTGGGTCAAGACATGAAGACGATGCAACATGACATTAAATTTAACTTAATTGGATGCCTAATTAATTTTTATGAATTAATAAAAAGTTTGTCCAAATTAGTAGGCTGTCCCATCAAACTATACCGCACTATTAATTAAACACGCATCATCACGTTCATTAGTGCGCAATGGTTTTCAGTCATGCAACTCTATTGTAAATTTGTTTAAATTTAAGTACTGAAAAAAAAATTCATAAAAAACGTTTTAATAACAATCTTTTATGTAAAAATGCACTAAAAAGAAGAAAATAAATTATACATTACTATTTAAATAACTATAAAGAAAAGCGTGGGGCTCTTCCTAAATATTAGTAAAGGTATCCAATAGATACTAAAGTGACCCACGCTTTTCTTTTTATGAATTTTTTTTACCCTATTATTAAAGTCACTGAAATCTAGAACTAGTCTTTAGCAGAGGAGTAATGTAAATCTAAAACTAGTCTTTAGCAGAGGAGTAATATGTTCTTTCTTTTAGTTCACTTGGATAAGTTTTGCTTATAATGAATACTGAAAAGGTAGATACTATATATAGAAAGTCCAGAGGCGTATCTAGGAGGGGCAGCGGCGGTGTGTGTGTGTGGGGTGGGTGAGGGGGGGGGGGGGGGGGTTCGCTATGCCTTGAGTATGTCAGATGTTTTCTGAAACTCTAGTGGTTACAATAAGCCTCATCGGCGTGTTTCATGTAGATCACTTGTGTCACATGTCGTCTAAAAGAATAAAAAAAATTAGTATGGAAACTGTCAGACGACAGTGTCATGTGGGCAGATGAGAGCGGGGAGAATTGTGGTTAGTTACAGCAGACGTAGGCGAACCGCTGACGTCACCAGCAGGCGTGAGCGGCTCACGTGCGCATCTGGTCGCGCGCGCTAAGTTAGGGTCAGGGTTAGACTGTGACTAGCCTTGCGGTACGGCTACTCGAGGGTCCGCGACCGTTTTTTTCTTGTGTGTTGAAAATGGAATGAATTAGCTGACATGATCATCTACCCCGCATCAAACATCCGTGGCTGCTTGCTGTCCGCGGTACGACAATGTATCCTAAACTGAGCTATTTTTAGACTTGTCCTATTTTATCGAAGCTAAAGTTAACCATTATGGTGATAATTTCAATTACTTTAAAGTTCGGTGGCTTCAACAATATTTGTGTTTAAAACAATTGAATCAAATGAGCAGTTTTTAACAACAAAGTTTAAGATCTTTTTTATTCCTGTTAGAATTGAATAGGAGGGAAAAGTTGCTCTGCTATTTAATGAAAAGGCTCGTGGCGATCTAGCTGTGTTTTATAGATCTGGAACTGTGTTGAGAATTTTAAACAATTTTCATGCGAACAAAAAAATTTCAAATAAGCTGCATATATAATGTAACGCTGGGACGCGATTAGTGCTGAGTTGGGCTGATATACAGGGTAAGTAGTTTCTCATCCCTGCTGGAATGTCAGTGTGTTGATTGGTGCGAAAGTGGTGCGACAAAATATTTCAGACAATTATAATTCTCCACTATTGAAATAACTCTAAAGAAAAGCGTTGATTTCTTCCTAAATATTCGTAAACTTATTAAATAGATCATAAAGTTAATCACGCTTTTCTATATAATAATTTAAATAGAAGTGTATTATAACATATTTAAACAAAATCCATTTTTAGTGTATTATAACATAAAAGTTGATATTTCAACGTTTTTATGCAATTTTTAGCGCAACTTCCATACTGGCAAAAATTGCGTTTAATAACTCGTCATTTCTGGATGGATGGATGTGTGTCCGCAGCTTTAAGTCGTATCTCCTCCTCAACGAAGCAATATCGAGGACTAGTTTCAAAAGCAAATATGTTAAGCAAGTTCCAAGGATGATTATGGGCCAAAAAAATTCCCGGAATTCCTTCCTGGATTTCCCGGAAAAGCCAAAAAACCTCGAACTAATGCAGTTTTAGCTCCATATCTCGGCAACCAGACCACTTAGCGACTTGAAACATTTACCAATCGATTCCTGCCATAATTTAGACCAATATTGCCGAAGAAAGTTTTCAAAAATATCCTTTCGTTCGGTCACAAAAAATTAATTAAGAACATTTAAACTGAGCATCGTGTAGGCCTAGGATGACATTTACTACTTTTTTAAACTGAGTATCTTGTAGGCCTACTCGTTAAAATAAAACTATTTCCGTTGATATAGGTTAATATAGTTGTCTTTTTTTTTACTTATTAATTCAAACGTTATTTTTGTACCCTATTAATTTATTTATAATTTAAAAAATTAATTAAGGAAATTGCGCTTAAATTGTCACTAGACTTTTTATTAACTTGTTTTTTACCAATTTCTTTTTGAAATTGCTTCCTCCGTCTGTCTTTCTCCTGTCCGCCTAGATAAAAAAAGAGAGAGCAAAATTTCGGGCAATTCTTACCAATCAACCAGAGTTTCTTCCAGGTAAAAATTTTTACCGCCCCCCCCCCCCGAACGAAATGAAATTTATATAATTTATATAGAAAATATATACTTTTAACAGTGTCCCCCCCCCCCCGAAGAAAGTCTACCGCCCCCCCCCCCCCCCCCGAAAATTTCAAGTGCCCCCCCCCCCCCCCCCCCCGAGAAAAAAGTCTGTAAGAACCACTGCGATCAACTTTTCCGAAATTTGACAATACCCGATGACATTGCAATCTGACATTAATAAATTGGATGACTATTTTTTTTTTGAATTCATTAAAATTTTCTAGTACAGTGTCTGTCTTCTACTACTATTCCGCACTAATATACGCGCATTAGCATGTTCGTTTGGTGCGCAATAGTTTTAGTTCATGCAAATCTATGAATTAAAAATTTTAAAGTACTGAGAAAAATATATAAATAAACCGGGAGTTACCCCTCCTACACTTTCTTGAATATTCTTATATAACACTACAGGAGATGGCAACTCGTGATAAAGACAATATTTTTAATCCATTTTTAATTACTTAAACTTTTTATAATAGAATAGAATCTCGTAAAAAAAGAATGGCGCACCTAGTGAACTCCAAAATATATGTGTATCATAGTGCCCAATATTATTAGTACTTTATAAATTCACATGTGTTTTTTTGAGAAATAGGAAATAGCATAAATTACTACTTCCGATCAACGGAAATTACTGAAAATTTGACAAAAGGCAGACAATTAGATTTTTTAACTATATAAGAAATTTAGTTCATCTATCTGAAAAAGTTCTTAAGTTATAGGCTTTTGAAAAATTAAAAGTAGAATAAGCTCCACTTCCGATAACCGGAAATCGCTGAAAAGTTGAAACAGAACTACAAATTTGATAATATACATATATGTAAAATTTCATCAATCTTGTTGTAACGGTACTCAAGTTATTATGTATATACACACACACACACACACACACACAGACACACACACACACACACACACACACACAGACACACACACACACAGACATACGAACAACTATGTTTTTCCGACTCAGGGAGGTGTAAACGGCGCATTTGCAAAAATCTCGATTTTATTTTTTACTTTTTTGCACGATTACAATACTTTTTCGATACTTCGTGTACGAGAAAGTAAAAATGTTTTAATAACAAATTAAAAACGAGAAAAAAAATGATTTTTAAAATATAATAATACATTGCAATTTAAATAACAATAAAAACTTTGAAATTGTCATAGTCAGCAGTTCTACTTGCGTCAGGGAAAGGTGTTCTACTTTAGTCAGGGAAAGGTGTTCTACTTTAGTCAGAGAAAGGTGTTCTACTTTAGTCAGAGAAAGGTGTTCTACTTTAGTCAGAGAAAGGTGTTCTACTTTAGTCAGAGAAAGGTGTTCTACTTTAGTCAGAGAAAGGTGTTCTACTTTAGTCAGAGAAAGGTGTTCTACTTTAGTCAGAGAAAGGTGTTCTACTTTAGTCAGAGAAAGGTGTTCTACTTTAGTCAGAGAAAGGTGTTCTACTTTAGTCAGAGAAAGGTGTTCTCTTTAGTCAGAGAAAGGTGTTCTACTTTAGTCAGAGAAAGGTGTTCTACTTTAGTCAGAGAAAGGTGTTCTACTTTAGTCAGAGAAAGGTGTTCTACTTTAGTCAGAGAAAGGTGTTCTACTTTAGTCAGAGAAAGGTGTTCTACTTTAGTCAGAGAAAGGTGTTCTACTTTAGTCAGAGAAAGGTTTTCTACTTTAGTCAGGGAAAGGTGTTCTACTTTAGTCAGGGAAAGGTGTTCTACTTTAGTCAGAGAAAGGTGTTCTACTTTAGTCAGAGAAAGGTGTTCTACTTTAGTCAGGGAAAGGTGTTCTACTTTAGTCAGAGAAAGGTGTTCTACTTTAGTCAGAGAAAGGTGTTCTACTTTAGTCAGAGAAAGGTGTTCTACTTCAGTCAGAGAAAGGTGTTCTACTTCAGTCAGAGACAGGTGTTCTACTTTAGTCAGAGAAAGGTGTTCTACTTTAGTCAGAGAAAGGTTTTCTACTTTAGTCAGGGAAAGGTGTTCTACTTTAGTCAGGGAAAGGTGTTCTACTTTAGTCAGAGAAAGGTGTTCTACTTTAGTCAGAGAAAGGTGTTCTACTTTAGTCAGAGAAAGGTGTTCTACTTTAGTCAGGGAAAGGTGTTCTACTTTAGTCAGGGAAAGGTGTTCTACTTTAGTCAGAGAAAGGTGTTCTACTTTAGTCAGAGAAAGGTGTTCTACTTTAGTCAGAGAAAGGTTTTCTACTCAGTATAGGAGATTTCTGAACACATTTTTCAGTTCTAGAAGATTGTGTAATCTTCTTGAGTATTCCAGAACCAACTTGTATTGATGAGTTTTATTTTGTTCATTGATTAAATTCTTGTAAACATCACGTGATGGGACTTGACGAACCGATGGAAGAGAGGGCTAGAGGAAATGGAATTTTAATTTTAAAAACAGTTGAACCCAGGCCAAAAAAAATCTCATTCTTTTTTGACGGATGGCCAGTCGGTGTGGCATTTAGAGGAGTTGATGGCCTCTCGATTGGGCCATTGTGTCACACGATTGGGAATCTGCTCACGTGTCGTCAATCTCACATTTCATCGAGGTCTGTTACAAATAAATCAGATTTCATCGTGGTCTGTTACAAATACATCAGATTTCATCGAGGTCTGTTACAAACACAAATTTGTGTGACAAATGTGATATTTGTGTGACAATTGTGATGTTTGCATGACAAATGTAATGTTTGCATGACAATTGTGATGTTTGCATGACAAATGTAATGTTTGCATGACAAATGTGATGTTTGCATGACAAATGTGATGTTTGCATGACAAATGTGATGTTTGTGTGACAAATGTGATGTTTGTGTGACAAATGTGATGTTTGTGTGACAAATGTGATGTTTGTGTGACAAAATGTGATGTTTGTGTGACAAATGTGATGTTTGTGTGACAAATGTGATGTTTGTGTGACATATGTGATGTTTGTGTGACAAATGTGATTTTTGTGTGATAAATGTGATGTTTGTGTGACATATGTGATGTTTGTGTGACAAATGTGATTTTTGTGTGACAAATGTGATGTTTGTGTGACAAATGTGATGTTTGTATGACAAATGTGATGTTAGTGTGACAAATGTGAGGTGTGTGTGGCAAATGTGATGTTTTTGTGACAAATGTGATGTTTGTGTGACAAATGTGATGTTTTTGTGACAAATGTGAGGTGTGTGTGGCAAATGTTGTGATTGTGTATGTAGCTACTTAGCTCTGTGACTATGTGAAGATAGCAGAGTTTATGTTTATTACGAGTTTCACTCTGAATCCTTTTTCTAGCTATATGACTATGTGACTATGTTACTATATGACTATGTGCTTATGTCATTCTGGCCTAATGTCTAACCGTCTAAAGACGTGCCTAGCCGTCCAATGCCATCTAAAGATGTGTTTAGCCGTCCAATGTCATCTAAAGATGTGCTTAGCCGTCCAATGTCATCTAAAGATGTGTTTAGCCGTCCAATGTCATCTAAAGATGTGCCTAGCCGTCCAATGTCATCTAAAGATGTGCCTAGCCGTCCAATGTCATCTAAAGATGTGCTTAGCCGTCCAGTCTAAAAATGTTCAATAGTTTTATTTCGGCTGTAACATAAATAGATAATGACAAGACGACAAACTAAATTATACACTCACACTCTCACACACTCACACTCAGACACCACACACACCAGCACACTCCAACTTATGTGACACGAAGACAACCTAAATTATACACACACACCCCCGTTCAACCACATATATGATCCCCACATCCCCCACACACACCTACACACACCTATATGACCCCACACACACACTCCCCCACCTATGTGACCCCATACACACCTACACACACCTATGTGACCCACACCCCCACCTATATGACCCCACACACACACTCCCCCACCTATGTGACCCCATACACACCTACACACACCTATGTGACCCACACAC